ATATATACTACAAAAATACACAAACATAAGAAGCGTCAGAATCAAATCAACGTCCACTCTGATACGCCCACGCATACGATACTTAAAAGCTGAACAACAACATAGGTACCTCATTCCAAAGTGCTTAAACACACCTTGAATCCACAGTCTTCCTTGAACGCCGGATCAGACATCACATAGCTCCATCGAACATTATTCAGCAGCGATGTAGCATCTTCCCTTGAACGACTTTCGCCTGCAGAGACGATCATATAACACTCCGTTGTATCCCAGTCAGTATCCACTGGCAGATATTTAACCACTTGTTTATCTACACCACTATCCGCCGGCAGGTATGGTACTACGCCTTGCGCGCCTTGGAAAGGTGACCTCGCTCCCATTATTATAATAAGTTATGCGTACGTGAAGGTTTATCGGTGACTCGTTTACGTCGATATATCTAAATCTATATCCATATACACATATATACGATATTTACATAGCTACAGGCATCATATTTATAAATTATAAATACTGCGCGATGTAGAGCGTCGAGAGTGTTCAAACTTCAGACTTTCCGAAGATTCGAAAATAGTACCGAACCTTTTATTCAGTTTACCCCCTAAAAACCAAGAGAATACGGCTATTTATTTATTTTATATATGGAACAAATGTATTTTACCACCATTAAAATGTTACAAAACATAAATACTACATATCAAGGATAAACTATTTTGTATTTCTATTATAAAATACATATATAGAGTATTTACGTGGCTGAAACATAGCCATATATGAGTCTGTGACTCTAATATTAGTACATGAATATATCTCATAACCACGCATATATACATATTCTCCAGTGAGGTGTGGACACTTGTCAGGTAACTCAGATCAATGTATAAGAGAGGCACTGAGAGTACCTAGTTGAAGACGGGACAAGCGTAGTCTAGTTCGATATTTAGATATAGAATTTACAATACCTATCATTATGGATAACTCTAATCCATTACTATTAGCGTTGAAAGACGAGCTGGACGATGTGTTGCAAGCATTAGTCACTCGACAGACAATTAACGTCGAGTGGCCCAACTACCCATCGCAGTTAATGTGGAATCTCAATGTGTCACCACAATGGGATTGCATGCTGCTGTACACAGTCACTTTCGAAGAAATATCCAGCCACATGGGCGTTATATTTTATCCTAAGGTAAGTTATATATGGAATGCTGCTTGGCTGTGATTGCAGAATGTTTTTTATTTGTGTGCTTGAATTTTAATATAGAAGGACGTCTACACCCACGGCGAAGCCATATCCATCGTAATCATATTTTTAATGGCAAAATGCGCCATGGTAAATTCTGCTTGAATACTACCAATTTTTGTCATTGCAGCGATATATATATA